TTACATATTAAGAACATGTGCACAGGGATGCAAATACCAAAAGGCCCGCTGGCTTCAGAAGCACTTTACATCATTATTAAAACACCCTTGACATCTAAGAAGAACTTGGTTTCAAGTTCTTTGCAGGCTTTGACACACACACATATGTTTTCATGCAGCTTGTCAGACGCTTGGAGGAAACCATTCCGGGGGGGGATGGACCCTGACAGGCATCTTAATTCTCCTGGGTGGAAGGCAGATGTAATACACAGAGATGACGAAGCAGCTTCATCATTTATGGGGTAGGCTGAGCTTTCTCCTAGCTTCGCAATTAGCATAACAGAGACATACCAGCCAATCAAATGCTATTCTTGCTCCTCCCTTCCCTTCATGTTGGCTACTCACTTTTAAAAACTTTTGTGTGCCACATATGTGCCTATTCATCCTTTGTTTTCTGTTAAAAGATCCTTGCAAACATTTTAAAAGGAGCTGTAAGAATTAAGAGGTGGGTTTGTGGTACTCCAGATACTGCCCTTGTAATGTAGATCTTCCCCATTTAATGGAAACCCGCACTTTTATCAAGCTGCGAAACTGGCTCTGCCAATCTCAGAAGAATGTTGAGAAGAAGCAAACAACCGTGATGTATTATGCCAAAAAAGTCTCCAAGGACTAGAAATTTATTTTTCCAATATTCAGTTTACTGGAAGGAATTCAAACGCCATCAACACCAACGAACCATGCATATTATATCTCGTTTCGTATAACTTTATCAAAGTGGGTAGTGTTGAAATACCTATATAATATTAATCCATTTGGCAAACACTCTATTCATATCCCATAGTAACAGTGTTACTGTGTTTGCCAAATAGAGTGTTTGCCAAATGGATTAATATAGGTATTTCAATGCTACCCACTTTGATAAAGTTATACGAAACGAGATATAATATGCATGGTTCGTTGGTGTTGATGGCGTTTGAATTCCTTCCAGTAAACTGAATATTGGGGGGAGGGAAATTCTAGTCCTTGGAGACTTTTTTGGCATAATACATCACGGTTATTTGCTTCTTCTCAGCTTCCATCCCGTGATTTCTCTCCTTGGTTTGCAATCTCAGAAGAATGTCTTCAAGCATCCCACTAGCATTATTAAGCCAGTGGTCCACCACCACAGTTTTCTCCACCGCTTTTCTGTAGGTTCAAACTCAGACATTATGCAGTGATCAGTTATTGCGAGTAGCTGGAAATCTACCGACAAACCTCTTCTTTCCTCTTGGCGCTTAAAAATCTGGGACTTTTACATCATGGACAAACTTTCTGATGCAGTGGCTTCCTCTACTAATAGTTCATATTCAAAATCTACTTTATGCACGAAATGGTCTCCTTTTTTAGAATATGTTTTCAATAATGACACTTCTAAATTTGCTGTTCCTTCTCAGTATGTTGCAGTGTTTCATTACATGTAATTTTGTGTTGGTCATATTTATACCAAATCCCATTGTTGTTTATTGTACTATAGACTAATAAAATATTTTTAAAAAAAAGAAATTAAAACAACTGGAAGGACTTAATGGCATTTCATCAGAAAAGAAGTATAAACCCCAGCAAATAGTGTTGATGGAAGACGTATACCTGGCAGGACAGTCACGGATGTTGCAAGACCGGTAATTCACGGCTGGCCTCTGGCTCTCTTGACACAGTGACTTGTTCACTCTTTGCTCCTTCAGGTTCACACACAGCAGCCTTTGGACCTGGGTCCCCAAATTCCCACAAAAGGAAGAACAGGGACTCCATTCGCCAAGCGCCCACCTATGTTCTGATGGGAGGAAAGCAACAGGTGGGGGAGTGAGGGGCAGCAACTGCACCCCTACTGATGTCCAGTTTTATATGTATACTACAGTTCTTTACATGAGTCCCACACCCCTGGCTCATCAGGGGCTTCTTGAGGTCTCAGGAAAAAGCCCTTCCCAGTCTGCTGCCAGAGATCATTCAGTTGGTGGTGCCAGAGACTGAACTTTTGACCGTCATCATACAGAGCATATGCTCTGCCACTGAAATATGGCCTTTCCAGTTCTTAAATGCATCCTGAAAAGCAGGCGGTGGCAGGTCAAGCTTCAAACAGTGCCAGCACGCTCAAATCCTTTCCCAACTGTGTGGAATTCAGAGGAGGATACAAACAGAAGAACTTCTGAAAGGGCAACCACTTCTTTCCCCAAATGAGAGAAATTCTAAATTGTGTTCCTACTTGATTCTGAACCAGCACAGTGAATAAACCGATATCGTTGGATTGCCAATGTGCTTCTATGGGAAGGCATTCATTACTGTACATCCACAGACTTTGCCCTGGGTCTTGAGAGACTATCAGCCCTTGGGCCAAGCCAAGAGCCAGCATGGTGGAGTGGTGAGAATGTTGGACTCAGATTCAAATCTCCACTCTGTATTGGATGCTCACTCAGTGCTTCCAGGACAGTCACCTATTCTTAGCCTAACCTACCTCACAGAGTTGTTGTGAGGATAAAATGGAGTAGAGAATAATGTAAGCTGCTTTGGGTTCCTGTTTTACAGAATAGTTGGGTGCAGATGAAGTAAATAAATAATAACTATAGCTGAAGGGGGGGGCAAATAAAAGTTTGGTTGGTTGGTGGTTGGGAAGGAGAAAAAGAAGCAGGAAAAGGTAAGGATGTGGGAGATACCAGGAGAAGGAAAATAGGAAAAAGTGTGGGGAGGGGATGCAGGGGAAAGTGAGGTGCCCCCTGCAAGTCCTTACACGTTCCGTACTGTGCAACTGGACTTGGCCAACAGCTGGTACCAAGCAACTGAGCATGGCCCAGAATGGTGGCTGGAACCAGGCACATCTTTTCAGGGACAGGCTGCCAGGGGGAGGGAAGGAGGAAAAGTTGAAGACAGGGGGCACATAAATGTAGGTTAGCTGGTAGGTGGGAAAGCTAGAAGGAAGCAGGAAAAGGACTATGGTGGCTGTGAGGAAAGAGAAAGAGGAAAATGGAATGCCCCCTGCAAGTCCTTGTGGGTCTACCACTTGTCAGGTCTGTTCTGCACAGAAGCACACAATCTGTACCCAACATCAAAACCTCTCATCACTCTTATGCTACTCAAGAAAAGTCTGGGATACCTGAAGAATTTGCCAAAATGAACCTTTTTACTGTGTTGCAGTTCCCAAGGATCCTCGCTCTGCTCAGACATAACTTAAAAGATGAAGTACTATAAAAGGTTGACAGATTTGTATGCAATCACAGGAGTCATGAATTGTTTTTTTGTGGGGAGGTAAGGGAGTGGAGGAGAGGTTGGTCCCATAATACCCAAGGATAATTGATCGCTCCCAGCTGTGTCCACAGTCACATTCCTGCAGCACATAATGAATTCTTTAACTTATTGGTTTTCAACATTTCCTTATTACTTCTGGTTTTCTTAAAATAATAGCAAAAGAGCATTTTTCAAAGCAGAAATGGTTAAAATAAAGTGTGACTTGGGAGGACTGCATTATTTGTTTTACCATGAAGATCCTGTGTGTTGGTGCTTTCTACAGCACCCACCATGCAAAAATCATCCCTTTAGCTACATCATGGTGGTTAAATAATCAAGTGCCTCCACACACACTTTCTCAGGTGACTGGAAAAGAAAAGCCTCTACAAAAACATGAAATGATATTGATGCCTCCTGCAAATAACAGCAAGGAGCAGGCGCTTACTCACAGCGTTCCCTCTGTGCTCCCGCTACCAGCAGGGCCTACACCAACTACACCTCCATCTACTAGCAGGACCTCAGCCACCTTGCTCTCTGCACCACACCATGCTCATTTGCCAGAGCAGGCTGTTGCTGGACAAACCTCAGCTGTGCTGCGGTGCCACCAAGGTGAAGGCCAAATGGTATTGCAGCGACTGGCTTAGGCAACACAGCAGGCACTACAGAACTGCCAGTGGGGGCCCATCCTCTCCCTCTGAGTGACTCATTGGCAGACTGAGCTGCTCTCGCACTGTTCAACGTCCCCTACTTGCTTCCAAGCCCAACTGCCATCTTGCTTTCAGAACACCAGGCCAGAAGCCCGTGGCAAGCAGAAATCACTGCCAGGTGAGCAGGAGGAGAGCTGTAGGGCCCCCGACGCTTCCTGTTATAACAGGACAGTGCTATGGAAGCAGAGGGCCAGGCTCTCCATTGCCCTCCTAGATTTAGAGCCACAGGGATCAAGTCTAGGTGGAGGAAAGCCACAGGGATCAAGTGTAGGTGGAGGAAAGCGAAAGATCTGATTCTCCACATCCATTGAGAAGCCTGTTGTGTTCCCCCTCCCCAGACCTCTCCAGTTGCCCCCCAGGCTTTGCCATGGCTCACATTACCTATCAGGCTCAGAGACCAAACAGGGACTTTCTGCAGACTTTTTTGAGACAAATGAGGGGAAAAGCGAATCAGATGCACACCAACCCCACACAAGTGGCTGTGTGGGCCTTTTCAGGTTCTTCTGCCAGCCCCCAAGGCTGTGCAGTCCTAAGCAGAGTTATGCCCTTCTAAGACTTCAAAGGACTTAGATGGATGCAACTCTGTCTGGGATTGCACTGTCAGTGTCCTAAAGGCCCCAGCTGAAGAAGGTCAAAAGGGTGACTAAAGGTCATAATGTGCAGGTGCCTCAACACTAACATTACAGGTAACAACACTGGAACTAGATGTTTAGTGCCCCAAATGGCATCCCTATATCTTGCACTTCTGCTCTCCCTTGTATGACAATTTATGCGATGAATCACAACAAGCCACCCATGGCACCCAGCTTGATCATAGAATCACAGGATCACAGAGTTGGAAGGGGCCCTACAGGTCATCTAGTCCAACCCCCTGCTCAATGCAGGATCAACCTGGAGCATCCCTATCAAACACTTGTTTGATAGAAATGTGGGCAGGGGGAGGCAACTGATCATTATGACGTCATATCCAATAAGTTATCTTTTCCTTACTTGGCCTTATGGGGAATCAGGGAGAACCAGGCTCAAGAACCCCATGAACTGGCAGCCCCACAGTGTCTAAGAGTTTTATCCTATGCTGTAAAAGCAATAAAATCTCAAAACATTTGCAGATGAAACATAATTAAACATTAGAATCTTGTCATGGAATGTTCAACAAACCTTCCTTCTTGACATTTACCCAAACAGACAATGGTTTGACACTCGATGAACTCCAGCATCTGTATTGTCCAGCAAGCCGATCAGAGACAACGTTCACCTCCAGGATATGTCCCTCACCCAGAGTTCGGTGATTGAAGCCTAGAATTTCTTCAACAGGTTGGTTTTTAAAGGACCAGAAAATGGTGTTCTTTGTATTGGGATGTACTGGACAGCCTAGGAAGCAAAGCTATTCTTAGCTTGTTTTCGTAAAACATTGGATAACTTCTTAAAATTTCTATATAAGTTACAGATTTAAGACGGTAAAAACAACCAAGGTAGAACTGACCAATGGTACAGAGTCCTATTTTCCACAGTGGCCAACCAGATGCCCCCAGAAGTCCTACAAGCATAGTGTGAAGGTCAAAACCCTGCCCTGGTTCTTTTCCACCCGGTAACGGGTATTCACAGGTACACTGCCTCTAAACATGGAGGCTCCATTTTTTCATCACATTTTTTCATCACTGAGAAACCTATCCTTCACAAATCTCCATGTGGTGATGAAGCAGCCACCACAACAGTCTGTTGCAGTAAATTCTTTCTGTGAAGTATGCATTCTTCCTTTTTTCTGTCCTAAGTTTCCTGCACACTAACTTTGGCAGGTGCCCCAAAGCTGACCTTTGGGTGTTCCTGAGTTACTTTTATGTGCACTTTAATGAAGCAGCAGCAGTGTGCCTTTTGCCATGTTTCAGACCACGCATCTTTCTCTCTGGCCAGTTTTGTGGTTCCAGACACACTGTTATTAAACAATTAAAGGAGGCCTATGCAGTAGGTAGCCTTGACCAGGGTAGCCTAGGCTAACCCGATTTCATCAGATCTCAGAAGCTAAGCAGGGCTGGCCCTGGCTAGTATTTGGATGGGAGACCTACAAGGAATACCAGGGTTGTGACACGGAACCAGGCAATGGCAAACCATCTCTGAACGTCTCTCGCCTTGAAAACTGTACGGGGTGGCCATAAGCCAGCTGTGACTTGATGGCAAAAAAAAAAATGCAGCAGATATGCACAGTAAAAACACAAATATATGGAGACTTCCGGTACGGCGCATCGACGAGCAGGCGGGAGCCCGGAGTGCTCCGTCCCTGCTCGTACCGCTTTCGCTTCGTTCGGGCCCCCCGCATGTCGGGGGAGCTCGTCCAGCACCCCGTTGGTGGGTGCTGGAGCAGGGGGCATTTTTCTGGCCCTTCCCCGCAACTGGCAGGGCGGGGGAGGTGCCCAGAACAAGCTCCGACGCCGAAGTGATCGGCAGGGAAAGAACATGGCCGCCGTGTTCTTGTGAGACGCTGCCACCCGGTTTGTTTTTAAAGTTTTTCTTTTTTGTTGTCGTTGGGGAAGATACATTGCATTGAGAGACAGATGGAGTTGGAAGAACTACCCCCCGATTTGGCCCCCCCTTTTATGCAAGAAGCGGCCGTTACAAAGGTACAGGGGAAATCATGAATGACGAGTTAAATGGGGGATGAAGAAACTGCCTATGGAGAGTATCATTATCTCGGGAGAGTTAAAAATTGCCAGTGAACACGAGAGAAAGGACTTGTAAAAGCGAGGCTCTAGAAGCGAAAAATGGAAGGAACAATAATAATTAGTGACTTTTCATGGGAAGAATGTAAAAAAATATTTGTAGAGGAAATTGGACAGGCGTTTAAAGTGGTTTGTGAGACTGTGTTAAGAAATGCTGTAAAAGAAATAGTGGAAGGGAAAGGACATAAAGAAGAAGTACAAGCCGTACAAGAGGGGCAAGGACAAGAGGCAGAACAGGAAAGGGAATTGCAGGCTGCTCAACGTCTCTCTACAGAGATAGAGCTACAGAAGGCTGACGACTTTAAAGTTGTTGTGAAGGAGCAAAGAACAGTCAAACCGCGAAATAAAAAGGGAAAAATAACTTTGTTGGTCCCAGCGCGAAAAGGGAGAAAGAAAGGTAATGGAGGCAAGAAATTAAAGAAGGAAAGAAACCCGGGGACTGCTGGCTACCAAACACTAGAGGACATGGAACAGATAATTTGGAAATAAAACTGAAGGAGTTCAAGAATAGACGACATTGGGAAGAAAACATGGAAAATCAAGTTAGAAGGGAATTGGATTACCAGGAGGATTGTGTTTCTAAAACGCCAAATCTTGCTAATTGTTTTTCTCCTCCTCCCTATACTGCTATTGAGAAGCTTAGACTGAAGACTAGTGATTGTGATGTTAATTGGAAAATATGTTATGAACTAACTGAAGATATAATATGGTTGTGCTGCTGGGAATTTCTAGGAGGGTAATAAATACTGATGGGGTGTTTTTGTGTTTTGAAAATTAACTGTGATAATTTATTTATAAGTATAGTTTACTGCCTAAGATTAATGGGTAATGTAATTATTTTTGGAAATGAATTGGATTGCTGATAATGAAAATGATAATTATTAGGATCAAATGGAATGTTTATAGTCATATAATTTAGTTGTAAGGCTTATTTTTATTTTTGTTGGGGCTTCCTTTCTAAGTTTGCTTGTTGTGCTTTATGACCAACTGTGGGTTGTAGTTAAATAGTCACATAAACTATTGTACTTAGTGTGGAAATGAATTGGATTGCTGATAACGAAAATAATAATTTTTAGGATCAAATGAAGTGCTTATAGTTATATAATTTAGTTGT